TCCACACCCACCTCCCCCTCCCTAGCCCAAACTTCAAAGTCAATCTTCAATCTATCTGCCTCAAATCCCTCAGAACTTATCTAATAATTATGTTTATCCCCATTTCTGCCAGTCACCACAAGAACCCTAAGATCCCCATGACACCCCTAACTCCTACATTCTAATTTTCATAAGGCTATGACCAATTCTCTCTTTAATTTACTTCTCACACCCCTTCCGTACTGCTAAAATGGAATTTGACCTCAATAATTCTTCTGTATCCTCACTCTCTTCTCTGAATGTGCCCTTCATTATCTTGTCCTAACAGAAGCCAGCCTCTTCCCTGAGGACTCTGTGTCCCCTGAAGTCCACTCAAGAGGAAGAGATGATTTTTCTCTCCCAGAACCATGGTACCACAGAGCCTGAAGTTCCAGTAAATGTTTTCCATGCTTCTCACTGCTGCCTGTAGAACATCCTTCTCCCACATCCCTGAAAACCTCCAGCTTCTGACAGCTATGTCACCAACTAGACTTCATTGTCATCATCTACCAACTTCACTGTTCCCCTCCTTTAATTCTCAAAGATTTTAGCTCCTGAAACTAGGTCACTCCAAATGGTAGTAGTCCTGTCTTAATTCCTGGTGAGTTCAAGAATGATCATTCTGATACACTGGCTCCTTCAGTTCCTTGAACATTTCTCCTCCATGACATTGACCTTGACCCCAACTCAGCCACTCACTGTCATGGCCATACCGTAGCCCTTGTCATAGCAATTATGGCAACCCCTCTATAATCTCAATTTCAAACATCACTTTCTATGACTATCATCTCCTCTTTTTCCAGATCACTCCCTTTGGTACCCAGTCCCCACTCTCCTTGAGCCTCACCAGAATCTCCAGATCATTGGTCTTACCAGATTTCACCATCTCTCTTTCCTTTATTGTCTTCTCTTTCCTCCTTCCCTAGATCAAATGTCATGCTCAGTCTTTACAATCACTCATTGTCATATACCCTCCACTCTCCTGCCCCTCTCTCACTTTGTATTGCTTCCCTGGCAAAATCATAACTCTAGCTAAGTCCAAATACACTTTAAGGAACCTGAACCCACACAGGTAAACCTGACTGGAGGAATACACAACCACAAACTTTTGAATTTTGATCTCTCTGCGGGCTAGCAGTATGTGGTATGACACTCTCTCGTGATGCTGGACAGCAGCAGAGAGCCGCAGCTACCAGTCAGCCATGTGATCACGGGGTGAACGACTGATACCAACACACTTCCAATCATTCTGTACCCATTCGAACATTCTGTTTCTCACTTTCAGTACAGTATTCAATAAATGACATGAGATATTCAATACTGTGTTATAAAACAAGTTTTGTGTTAGATGATTTTGCTTAACTGTAGGCTAATTAATGTAAGTGTTTGAGCACGTTTAAGGCAGGCTATGATGTTTGATAGGTTAGGTGTATTTAATGCATTTTTGACTTACAATATTTTCAACTTACAATGGGTTTATCCAGATGTAATCCTATCGTAAACTGAGGAAGGTCTATAGATCATTTTCTCTCACAATCTCTCTACCATCTCTCGCCCGCTTATCTCCTACATCATCGATCTGTGCTCTCTACCACATTGTTTCTGTCAGGATATCTTCATGCTGTTGTTTCTTATCTTCATATAAATACATTTTCATCATTATATATGGATTGTTCTATATATATGTTCTCTTAATTCCACTTTCCACACTTGCTATCAGCCCATTTGTTTACTCCCCTTTGAGGCAAATCTCTTTTAAAGATAAATGTAATCTACATCTCCATGTGTAATATTTGAACATGAATATTTGAAGACATTGTTTGAATCAGTGTTCCTAGTCTAAGACCACATTCCCTTAGGCCTTCTACCTACATCAATCTGGTGTCCAGAGGGAGCCTCACACAACATTCCTTTCCTAGCCCCTACCCTCTCTGTGTGCTCTCCACCTCACTCACTCTGCTCCAACTACGGCCTCTTTCCTGTTCCTCAGACAAGTCACACTCACTGCTGCCGAGGGCCTTTTTAATATCTGTTCCACTTTCATGAACATTCATCCCTCAGACATCCACTTGGACTACTTCACCCTTTTGTAATATTTGTCTTATTCACTGTTTCCAAATTTTCTCCTCCTATTCTCATTTGAATACATTCCCATCAGTGGCCCACCTCCACTGCTCCACTGAAATTGCTCTTGTCAAGGTCATGAATAAATTCCACATTGCTCAATCCAGTGGTCAGTTCTTAGTACTTGTCTTACTTGACCTATCAGCAGGACTGGCACAGCCAATGAGCCCCTCCTGCTCAGTTCATTTTCTTCACTTGGCTTCCAGGATTCCACACTCTCCTGGTTTCCTCTGACCTCACTCACTGCTCCTTCTCAGTCCCTATTACTGGCTCCTCCTCTCCTCCCAGACCTCTTAAAATGGGAGTGCCCCTGGGCTCAGTCCTTGTTCTCATTTCTACACTCCCTTGGTTGTCTCTTCCAGTCCAATGCTGTAAAACCATTTCTATACTGACAACTCCTAAATTCATGCCTGCAGATCAGATCTGTATTCCAAACTGCAGTCTAATATATCCAACTGCCTACTCAGCACCTCCTCTCAGATGTCTAATGGACATCTCAAACTCAAAATGTCCCAGATTGAC